AAAATTAAAGAAGTATTCTCTAGTATTTAGTATGCGCTTAGGCAATCAATTACGTTGAACTTAGGTAACACATCAAAAGTGCCTTTCAAGTTTCACGATTAGTTTTGTACACAATAACACAAACAACAAACAAACAAGAATTATTGGTTTCTTTGAATCACCGTGATTTCTAAGTAATTAAATCGTCTTACGTATTAAACGTAAATAATCTAACACTAACACTAACTAATTACGCCGAAGATGCTTCGCAAAACTTAAGATCATGAATTTTGCAGCATACGCGCCATTGTGCTACAAGGAAGCAATAATGATGTTTTCGAGTTACATACATACATAAGTATGTATATTGTAATACATACATACAAGTACATTATGTAATAACATTTATTTCTAATGTTTATTAAAGTGTATGGATTCTTTTGAATACAGCTTTGTACGCTTGTGTAAGTGGCTGAAAACATACATACATATATTGTATATGTATAAATAGAATGTGCTATATTTTGATTGTACGAGGTGATGGTCAAAATATTTGAATACTGATAATATTGCTAATTACTTTTTCACCACTATTGAGTCTGATTATATCAGGGTAGATAACTTTTGACAAGAAGAAGATAACTTTTGAAAGCAAAAATAGGCATAGTAGGATGAAATCCATTGTAAACGAAAGATAACGTAATAAAAATTAATCGAAAAATATTTACGGAGGATCTGGGTTAAAACGGTTTATCTTGACTAACGGAAAAAAAGGAATGATAACCTTTGGATCAACATATTTTTCACATAACCTTAATATTAATTAATGAAATATTGAAGTTTTTGCGTGTTTTATATTTTTTGTTTACAATTTTTTTTTGCGATATTTGGTGTAAATTTATCTGGTGCCCCAACCACATTATATTGTGTTTTTATACTCTCGCAACAATGTTGCTAAAGAGGGTATTATAGCTTTGTTCACAAAACGGTTGTTTGTAAGTCCTAAAACTAAAAGAGTCATATATAGGGTTATATATACCAAAGTGATCAGGGTGACGAGTAGAGTCGAAATCCGGATGTCTGTCTGTCCGTCCGTCC